TTGAATTTGGGATTAGAATGGAAGATATAGATTTTTTTGGAATTGGATTTGATATTAGGGTATTGAACAATTTTCAAGAAATTAAAAAAAATTCTGACTGTACGGATGAACAATGATTTTTTTTGATAAACTCAAAATTGGACTACGAGATCAACGAAGCAACCAAAAGTTGATTTGGATGCTAGTTAGCCCAAAAACAACTTTTAACTCTTTTTTTGGAATTTTCTGGATCTAAACTCAAAAATATTATTGGACATAAGAATACGAAGAACAAAAGACTCAAACAACAAAAAAATATAGAACCTTAATATGGAGCCCAAGCTCTGATACCAAATAATACGAACCCGGTCACGGGATCAGCGTGGAACTCGCGGAATTGATTTGAAAACGCCGAGAAAGCCCAAATCTAGGTTGTAGATGATAGAATCTCGACCAGAGCCTCACAATTTAAGAACCTAAGGTATATTAAACCTTAGACCTATTGATATGCAAAAACAAGAACCTCGATTTTGCAAACGCCACAAAGGGTGCATAATCATTTGATAAGTTCTATGGATGAATGCCACAAATATTCAACATATAAGTTCGAAATTTCATGAAAGAACCCATGGAGAGAAAATCTCAATAATTCGAAGATCCTATTTATACTAAACCTTAGAAGCTAGTTAAAATCGGAAATAATTCTTAAAAGATTACAAAATATCAATTAAAAAAGAATTCTATACAATTAAGATAACTTGTGTAAATTGAAAACTCTTCTTCTGGATTTAGCCTATGCGACCACATAGTGTTATTCTATGCGGTCGGATAGAATAAATTCTGGACCCCTGACTGATCTCGGTATGGACACATGCGGTCGCACGTGTTGGGACACTATGCGACCGCATAGTGTCCTGTTGGACCTCCGACTTCGTTTTCTTGTTTTCAACGCTTTCCAACTCTTTTCGACCCTCGACCCCAACATCAAAGTTGATCTTCAGCATGTTGTCTTCATTATAATGGACATCAATGCTTGAACATATAAATAATCGACAATGTCAACTCTTTGAAGTCTCAAACTTGGCNATGGACTTCATTGCTTGAACATATAAATAATCGACTTTGTCAACTCTTTGAAGTCTCAAACTTGGCTCTAGTCTCGCTCCAACATGCTTCGGATTCTTGATAAAAAGTGGCGCACCCCGGATCATATCACAAGTTCTTTAAACTAAAACAGATTAATGGACGTTTATATAAGTTAATAATTACAATTAGTTATATAAGATAATAAGATGCAACAAGAAAAGAATAAAATAGATATGGATTATTGTACTTACTGCTTCTTTTGCATAATAGATTGCGTAAGATCTTTCCTCCTTTGAAAGTTCTTCACTAAACTCCCTGTAAAGAATGGTTTGAAATACTCTAGTAAGCGTTCAATTTCACTGGTATCCCACCCGGAAAAAAGAAAGAAAGTCATTATGTTGATTACAACTTTGAATAATCAATTGTATTATGAAACTATTTTGTATTCCTATTGTGAGTACTATTGAAAGAAAGAAATATGAACCTTTGAATGGCCTCCGTAAAAACTTCAAGTTCTTCAACTGTACCATAAGCATTATATGTATCGTCTATTATTGATGTCATTGCAATGGTTTTGGTGAGCTTGATTCGAGCAATTTAATATTGAGATTCATGATAAACTCCCACAGCCTAAAAAAGGGATTCTACCACTCCATCTCTAGCATAAGGAAGCTTAGAAACAAGGTCAAATTCTTTGCACCTCCTGCAATATATAAGAATTTTTTTATCAATTAGTGTTCATGCATGGATTTTAGGAGGGCATGAGCTACTTGTTTCTCAATGGTAGAGCTTAGATGTGGCGCCATGGATTTCAAGATGTCTGTTGTGAAAGCAATGACATCTTCTAATATATCTTCTCCATGTACTCTTAGGTATGATGTTTCATATATGCTCAGCAAGCCTCTTGTATCACTCTTAATATTTTCTTTGAATTTTCCATTCTCGTCTATGAATTTCTTAAAGATGTCACAAGATATACAGTAGCCATGTTGCCTCAGTAAATGAAAATGAAGAGCAACAGTGTATAAGTGATACGCTTTATCTGCATAATTTGAGTTCAGTTTGAAGAAGCGTTCTAGTAGTTCGTCAATCTCTTCTTCAAAATGATATGATACACCCAAGCGCTCCAGTGTATCAATCAAATTCATTGTCTCCACCTTCTATTTTCCTTGAATTGTCAGCATGCTTCTCACTTCATTCTTTAACCCCTCAATCTCCTTGGCATATTTTTCTGCTAACTCTTCGGTTTTATAAGAACAACATATTATGAGTACCCTAGCATCAAATTAATGTTACTAGCAACATATACTATGTACCAGGCAGTAATTTCCAATTAAATTTTCCCAAAGAATCTTCCTTAAACAATCTTCTATCTACAAAACAAAATTATATTTTAAATAAAACAATCTTTTTCAGAACTGAAAATACGAAGTTCAACCCAAACTACACCTAGATGGGGGTAAATAGGTGGTTATGTGGAATTAAAAACTTAATAATTAATTAGCAACAAGTCACTATTAATTATCTCTAGATGGTTAATCATACAATTCAATTTTTACTATGTTGAAATACCGCAGTTATGAAAGGAATAAATAAACACAAGAAATGATCACGGAGAAACCCAAACTGGATAAAAACTCCTGGCAATTTGTCAGTCAACAATCCAATATAAATGAATTAAAACTTACAGTCCACCAGACTCGACTGACACTAGTACTTTCTGACCTCCTAACTGCAATTCCCACAACTCTCCTAAATTTTGTGCTCCACACCAACTCCCAGTTGCAGTTTTCAAAGCTCTTCTGGATTGCGCTTTCCTGGAACAACTCTCAGCTTTGTTAATTCTTCTATCTCCTATGGTTTAACGAAGAACTCCGTGTTCTTCAACGACTGGAACTCTAGTCACATTCCCTTGATCTTCAAAACTCTGACGGATTTGTAAGAAGTAGCAGTTTGGTATTTGAATTGTGGATTTGATGTTTTCACTGCCCAGAACCAATCACAAAATGAAGGTTGAAAGCTAATTTGACGAAGATGATATGGAGAGTATAAGTTTTCTTAATGTTCAAACTTGTCAAAAACTTCTGGAGACGTTTTCTTATTTATATGTAGGTTAAGGAATGAATAGGCCGGATAAAAAACCGTAAAAATCGAATTAAAAATTCTCCGGATAAACCTATCGCTTGAGCGAGAGTTGGGCGACTGGCGAGTGACAGTGTGACGCTCAAGCGAAGCCTTGGCGACAACGTTACTGTTTCTGACGCTCGAGTCAAGTCATGGCGACAGTCTAGCAAAGTTGCGGTGTCATTTTCCCTTCTTTTCCATTCTCGAACCCTAGATCTAATATAACACAATTTCTACTATTTGTACATTACTCCTTGACTTTTACAACATATTAATTTTAATCCATTTTGTTCACAGACTTTTCAATTACATCAAATACCTAACAAGCTCCCCCTTTGACATTCTGTGACAAAACTACAATCTAAAGTCGAGGTGGTAGTGAAATAGAATGACAGACTCAAAGACTGACACAACCAATAACTGTCTTGATCGAATTCTATTTTCATTTATCAAAACATGTTTACTAAAATAGACAACTCAAATACCTTGTGTAAAATGTATGTGAAACAATACTAAGTACAAAAGCAATTCAAGCAGTTAAATCAAACAGTACACAGTGTAAAGGTGATTTAAGCAGTTAATAATTCATAGTGCCTCTTTTTAGTTTCATATCATAAGCTAAATTAAGACATAATA